AAGTTCCATCACGGAACGTTGGAGGCGTTGGATTTGTCGTACACCCATCTGTTGTCAATCTTGTCGATTCGCATGAGATCCTGTCACCCCTAACCATCCTTCGACTCCGTCTTATGCATCAAAACCATCACTATCATCATCTGCTATTCTCCAACTCAGCAGCTGATGATGCGGAACTTGGTGCTTTCAATGAGGATTTGGAGGAAGTCATCCGCAAAGAAAACCCCTTTCTTAAGTTCGTCGTGGATGACTTGCGAAAATCGGAAGAAGGGAAGCACAGGATCGGAATATTTGGATCAGGACTCCGGAATGAGATACAGTTTTGTTGGGCTCTTAACCGCCGCGCGACTTTTTCATGGCTACACCATCTTGATGAAGAAAGATCACCGGTGGTGGATATGGGAGTCACCCAACGGTACGAATCATGCGGAGATCGACCACATTCTCACCAACCGAGGGTGGTGCTTATTGGACGCTCAGTGATACCATCTTTCAGCAGTGGCTCAGATCGCCGCCTCCTTCGGGCAAAAGTGCAATTCAGCCAAAAGTTGGAAAAGAAGTTCTGCCACCGTTTTGGAGGAATGAGAGAAGTTGTATATGACGGCATCAGATTGAAGGATCTATGCCTCGCACAAGAAAAAGGAACAACTTTTGAAAGCTGCCAAGGATCTGCTAAAGAGGAGAAGAACATTGAGGCTAAATTCGGCTGCATCACATCTCGAGCGACTAGTAGCCAATACTGCAGAATAGCTTTGCAGGAAGATCTTCAAAAGTACAGACAATCGAAGTTTGGAAGAAACACAAGGAAGGAGGAGTCTAAAGAAGTGCCGGAGAGACCTCTTTGACTACTGTGTTCCGCTGACAACATTACTACGGGACTCGCACATCTTCCCGGCATAAGATGGAATTGATCAGGAATAAAATTCTACATCAACCTCTTTCGCTCGTCAACCCCGTTGTGCCCACTGGAATACCATGGGTTCTAACTGCTAAAGTACGGGCCGCAATCCAGACCATGAAGGCAGCCACGGCTCCAGGACCGGACCCTGTTCGGCCAACGTACGAGCTGGAGGACATCGCCTACACGAGATAGTTGCGGAACATCTAACGTCCTACCTTCAAAAGGAAAGGATCCCCGACCAGTGGAGAACTTACAATCCTTCTTCATAAAAAAAGGAGATAGGCGGGATCTTCCGAATCGTCCAATATGCCGGCTTAGCGTGCTTTACAAGCTCTTTACGAGGATTCGCTGGCATATAAGGACACTGCATGAAGCCCAGCCTGCACAAGTTGGATTTCGCATAGGATTCAGCTGCAGAAGCACATCCAGACAATTTCGAGGATTATCGAGGTTTGGCGAGAGTACCGCCTACCTCTCGTCTTAAGCTTCTTCGACTATGAGAAAGCGTTTGACAGCAGCGAGACTAATGC